GGCGACGCCAACAAGGCAGCGGCCGCGTTTCGTCTTCGGGGCCCTCGCCCTCTGTGTGCGCGTCTGCTGGTGTGTGTCTCTGTCTGTCTGTCTGTCTTCTATCGTTTTGTCTGTCTCTCTGTCTATCTGTCTTCTATCGTTTTGTTTGTTTGTCTGTCTTCTATCGTTTTGTCTGTCTGTCTGTCTGTCTTCTATCGTTTTGTCTGTCTGTCTGTGTGTCTTCTATCGTTTTGTTTGCCTGCCTGATTATCTATTTGTCTGTCTATCTCTGTCTGTCTCTACGTCTCTATCTCTTTCACTGTCTTTCTCGATTCTTTCTTATTTCCTCTCCTTCTCCTTTCCTCTCTTCCCATACCCTGGATTTACGGAGATAAATAGATTGAAAGAGACCTATAAATAGACAGATAGATAAAGAGATAAAGAGATAGACAGACATACAGACATACAGAAAGAAAGATATAGAGAGATATAACAGACACAGATAGATATAGAGAAATATAATCTACAGACAGATAGATATAGAGAGATATAAGAGACACAGATAGATATAGAGAAATATAATCTACAGACAGATAGATATAGAAAGATATGACAGACATACATATAGATATAGAGAGAGATAACGGACATACAGAGAGATATAACAGACAGACAGATAGATATAGAATATAACAGATAGACAGATAGATATAGAGATATAACAGACACAGAGAGACAAAGAGAAAGAGAGGGAAGGGGCAAAGAGAGAATAAACAAACGAAGAGGCCAGAGAGAGCGAGGGTGAGTCAAGCACAAAATGATGCGGTTGATCTCATCGGCTGACATGAGGCGCGAGATGAGCTGCCGTGCCTGGGGCGTCCACAGGACTCATCACTTCCGCGTCATCACCAGCGTCGTCATCACCAGCGTCATCACCAGAATTGTCATCACCAGCGTCATCATCACCAGAATCGTCATCACTTCCGCGTCATCACCAGAATCGTCATCACTTCCGCGTCATCACCAGCGTCGTCATCACCAGAATCGTCATCACTTCCGCGTCATCACCAGCGTCGTCATCACTTCCGCGTCATCACCAGCGTCGTCATCACCAGAATCGTCATCACCAACGTCGTCATCACTTCCGCGTCATCACCACAGTCGTTTTCCTCACCATCATCGGTATCAGTGATCACCATCGTTATGACTATCATCGTTATCATCACCATCAATATCGTTATCATTACCCCAATCGTATTCCTCACCGTAATCGTCATGACCACCATCGTTATCAATCATCACTGTCATCACCACCATCGTCATGACTATCATCATCATCGCCATCACCATCATCGTCATCACCACCATCACCATCATCATTTCCATCACCATCATCGTCATCACCACCATCACCATCATCGTCATCACCACCATCACCATCATCGTTTCCATCACCATCATCGTCATCACCACCATCACCATCATCGTCACCACCATCGTCATCACCACCATCGTCATCACCACCCTACATGTTCGCTGCTGCTATCATTATCATTATATTCTAGAAATAAGAATGGAAATGGTAAGAAATAATGATAAGGAGAAACAAGCGATAGTTATAAAACTAAAGAATAATAATGATGGTGAGTCATCATCATCGTGATCATCATTACCGTCGGATTCTCCTTTTTTCTTTTCACTATCACCCTCAACATTACTGAAATGATAATAATAAAAATGATAATATTATAATACTACTAATGATAATAATAATAATAAATAAATAAATAATAGTAACGATAATAATAATGGCAACAAAATACTGACGATAAATATGAAAATAATAATAATGATGAAAATGACAGTATGCTAAAAACAATGATAATAGCAATAGAAATTGCAATATTAATTATAAGAGAGAAAGAGAGAGAGAGACAGGGTGAAAGAGAGAGAGAGAGAGAGAGAGAGAGAGAGAGAGAGAGAGAGAGAGAGAGAGAGAAAGAGAAAGAGAGAAAGAGAAAGAGGGTTAAAGCGAAAGAGAGAGAAAGAGAGAAAGAGAGAGAGAGAGAGAGAGAGAGAGAGAGAGAGAGAGAGAGAGAGAGAGAGAGAGAGAGAGAGAGAGAGAGAGAGAGAGAGAGAGAGAGAGAGAGAGAGAGAGAGAGAGAGAGAGAGAGAGAGAGAGAGAGAGAGAGAGAGAGAGAGAGAGAGAGAGAGAGGAGAGAGAGAGAGAGAGGAGAGAGAGAGAGAGAGAGAGAGAGAGAGAGAGAGAGAGAGACAGACAGAGACAACAGAGAGCGAGAGACAGAGAGCAGTTGAGCCTTTTTTCTTATCTACCGTACACCAACTAATTAAAAAGTTCATTAAAAGTAACGCTACAGCAATTTTAAAATTTCTTAACAACCATCCAGAAGACATTACTCACTCACACCCGAAATGACGTTGCTGGAGAAGCTCCAATTAGAATAAAAGAGAGTAGAAAGGAAGGGGGGAAGAGGGAAGGAGGAAAAGAAAGAGGGAGAGA